CAGCATGGAATGCGGTGAGAATGCATTAAATTGCTGGGCGTATCTACCAGCCCCATCCCTCCCCCTGGACCCCTGCCTAGTGGACAGGGTGCGTGCACAGCAGTGAGACCTCTGCCTCCGCTGTTCCCCCGCCTGCCTCTTTGGAATGATAAGAGGAGCGGTACAGGCAGCCGCCAAACACATCCCTCCTCCTCAAAAGGCAAAAACAAAGCAAACATATCTTGCTATTGCAAACATGTATGAGGCAAATCTAGTTTGTTTCACCTAAGAAAAGGGCTAATGTGCTGAAAAGGAGGTAATGATGGGGAAGTAACATAGACAGCATTTATGAATGCAAATGTATTAAAACCTCTTTGCAGGAAGATCCCCCAGCGTACTGTTTATAGTGAATTCATCTTAAAATATGAGCAGATGTTCGCCTGGAGGCCAAGGCCCTGACCCACTAAGCCAACTTCTCCTGCTCCTAAGAATTATGGGATAGCGCCCTGAGGAGAAGCCCCTGCTCCAGCTTCAGACACCCACAGTCTCTCTGCACCTCTTGCCCAGCATGGAGGAGTGTCGGTAATTATGTAAATATTGTGGGATTTTAAAATATACCTTATCTAGGTGTCAAAGCATGAGGCAAACACTGCTTCTCACTCTCCTTTGGTAAAGGTCAATGTGCTTCATCCATTTTGCGTCTGAGGATCCAGGCACAGGGAGGTGGAGTGCCTGTCCCGGTCCTCACAGGCGCGGTGTTTTGGTGAAACCACAGCCCAGAGCTCTCTGCTCCCATTCCCACAGGGAAATCAGCAGGCCGTCTCCTTCCTCATTAAAGCCTTATTTATTCTAATGCTGAACTCACCGCACAGGTGCAATAAAACACACAGTGGAAATTCATTTCTCCCCAGTGACACGACGATCAGTCAATAAACTCAACTATTTCATGCTTCACAAAAGCAAGATCAGATCAGCAGTTAAGATGGTGTAGAAAGCACCTCCATTTCAACAAGTTCCAGGTCAACAAATAAGATATGCAAATGAATTAACTATTTGTAGTAGTAATATGAAAACCGTAAGGTATTTCAAGTTAAACTCTAAATACCACATATAAAAATCTTAACATAAATCATGTTTCAAAACAAACCATAAATGCAATTTAAAAATAGTTCTCTACCTTGGATATAATAATAAAAATTCATTGACATTTGTCAAAACTATCATATGTATCATATAAATTGTAAATCTGCCTATTTTAGAAAAATAATTTACTCCAAACATTCCAGAGGCGGTTGTGCAAAAATTAGGATAGGAGATTCTTTGGGGTTTTAAGTCCCTTTCTTATTATTGGAAGCATATTTTAAAATTGACTGAATCATCTCTGGGCTAGACCATCAGATTCCAAGAATTAACAGGTGGCTAACCAGGTCACTGATAAAGGTCTCTTCCAACTGTGAGTCTGTACAATCTGGAGCCATGGGGGCATCAGTGGCCATCAAGCCATTAATTTCCCCATTTTACCCTCTGGAAGTGGCAGGGGGTCTTGAGGGGCTCCGCTACACCAAGTGCCTCACGCCCATCAGTGTCAGCTTCTCTCCACCTGGGCACAAGTGTCCCTCCAATCCCCAGGGGTGTCTGCTCCTATTTGACAGAGGCAACAAGTCACACTTTAGCACCATTTATTATTTTCTTCCAACTACAATGCAACTCACTCAGTGTATTCTCAGTACAACACATTCCGCCCAACCCCCACCCCAGCCCAACATCACCTCTTTCTATTCTGTAGTAATGGCTGGTAGCCAATACTAGGTAATCCCCAAGTACCTCAGGTCTACACTGCTTTAGCCCTATCATTTAACATCAGAGATCTATTCGATCCTCCCTGCTTCCACAATGCCAGACGTGTAGGAAAGCTGTTTGCCTAAAGAGACAGATACGTTGAGAACAGTGGCACCATCGCCCCTGCTAGAGTCAGCTCTTTACCCCAGGACCGCGTTCCAGGACAAGCCTGGCCCTGGCCCTCACTGACAGACCTGGCTGCTGATGCTTCCGCTCGCTCTTCCGCCCGCTGCTTGGCCCTGAGGAGGGCTTTCACTGTAACCCTAAGCAGCTCTCTTCTCGATTCCATTCCAGAACACGAGAGGCGGCCATGGTGAGCTCAGAGGTAGGAAATCCGGGGCAGCCAACTCGCTTGCCATCTTCTCCTGGAGATTCCACCCCTGGCTCACATTCTGGCTCTCCCGGACAACAACTGGGGCAGCCATGAAAACCTACTCAGACCTCCAACCGCAGGACCGTCAATGCACGCTGCCTCTAGCCATCAGGTCTATGCCAAGGTCACTCTAGTCCTGTGCTGATCCCAGCCAGGAACGGAGTGGTGGGGACACTAAAGAAGTGCCATTCCTGAGGAGGCGGACTCCTCTGAGGGCCAAGTTTTGACTGAAAATGCCCCACTGCTTTGTTCCCCGGAGCTGCTCAGTCTGAAGCCCCCACTCCTTCCCTCCCTCCTCTCCTTCCCTCTTTCACAGCGTCAGACCTGTACTGTGTCCCGATGGCTCCCCTGGCCTCCCCTGGCTGACGTCCCCCGCACGGGAGTTTTCCATGATGAACCTTTGACCACCTAATGCTCACTGTAGCTCCCCAGCACCCGAAGTATCACAAGTGGTGCCGGCAGAGGCCGGAGGAGACAGGTGATGCGATGTCACTCTCTGCCAAGGAGCAGAAGGATGCTGTGGTGTGGGGGACAGTCTGGCAGTTCACTGCTAAGGGGTTAACCGGAGGTGACCTGGGAGAATCCCAGTGGAGAGAAATGCCTTTGCAGGGGCCATGGTTCAGGCATTTGAAAGATGGGGGTGAACACGGCTACAAATGGGCGAGGTGACTGTGGGCGTACTGATGCCCTGCAGAATGAGGAGGAAGTGAGGGCCAGTGCCAAGCGGTTGCCAAGTACATGTGAAAGCCTGGGAGCCTCTTATCAACGGTGGTGAAAGCAGACTCGGCAAGATATAAAGCAGGTGGTCAACCTCTGCACTTCTTTTTTTTTTCTTCTTCTTTCTTTTTATTATTGAGAGTATTTCAGACCCATTAACAATGTAAAAGCCACTCTTAGCATGCTGTACAAAACAGATTGTGGGGAGGATTTGGCCTATGGGCCACAGATTGACATCCACAAATAAAAGGCATGAAAGTTATGCCCTAGCCAGTTTGACTCAGTAGACAGAGCGTCAACATGCAGACTGAAGGGACCCATGTTCAATTCCGGCCTAAGGCATATGCCCAGGTTGCAAGCTCAATCCCCAGTAGGAAGTGTGCAGGAGGCAGCCAATCAATGATTCTCTCTCATCACTGATGTTTCTATCTCTCTCTCCCTCTCCCTTTCTCTCTGAAATCAATAAAAACATATTTTTTTAAAAGGCATGAAAGTTAGAACTGCACAGCCAAGACCCTCTCAACTGCCCTCCCTTGCCAGGCTGGTTCCTCCCAATTGCCCACCCCTACTTGCCTGATATCCACAATTGCCCTCCCTTGCAGGCCTGGTCCCTCCCAACTGCCCTCCCCTGCTGGCCATCTTGTGGTGACCATCTTGTGTCCACATAGGGGCAGGATCTTTAATCACATGGGGGCAGCTATTACATGTTGGAGTGATGGTCAATCTGCATATTACTCCTTTATTAGATAGGATAGAGGCCTGGTGCATGGTGGGGGCCAGTTGGTTTGCCCTGAAGGGTGTCCTGGATCAGGGTGGGGGTTCCCTTGGGGCATGGGGCAGCCTGAGGGAGGGGCCTGTGGTGGTTTGCAGGCCGGCCACACCCCCCAGCAACCCAGGCGGAGTCTCTGGTATCTGGGATATATTTACTTTCTATAATTGAAACTTTATAGCCTGGAGCAGAGGCTTAGGCCTGCCAGGGCAGATGGAAAGCTTGGCTTCTTCCATTACCAGAGAAACCCAAGCTCTCTGTGGCCACAGCGATCTTGGTTGGGGGTAATTTGCATACTCGCTCTGATTGGTTGGTGGGCATGGTTGGTTAATTTGCATATTACTCTTTTATTAGGTAGGATGCTCCTGTCATCTGTCAATACCCTTTCTGTATATAGTCAGTCCCTGTGGCTACTGGCCCTTTTTCAACTAATGTTAGAGAACACACTACCTAAAGTGGGATCTCACTTGATCTATTGCGTTACTTAATTATAGCCATTTTCTCAGATCTGCTATTAATTCTTCCAGATCCTGTAGCTTGGATAACTCACAGAGCTGCCCTCATGTTTTCATTGCGCCGTTTATCAGTTTGAGCACTAAGCTAAGTGTACAATTTTATCTGTATGTTCCCAAAAATTCTAGTTTAGCACTTCTTAGTTGGGATTCAGGAATCTGTATTTTAACAACTCCACCAGGTGATTCTCATCATGAGAGAAGTTTGGGAAACACTGGGCATTTTACTTTCAGGTGAAAGGTTTTCAATGAGGAGGAGCCGGAGTCGCAGAGTCTGCTGACAAACCTTGCTGGCCACTCACCTCTGCAAGCAGATCGTGCAGCTCTCCTTCGTTAGGGCAGCATCCCAACGACCTGATGATGGTTCCGATCTCTCTGCGGGGAAAGTGGTCAAGAGTCTTAGAACATGCACTCTGAACCTCCTTTTACAGATGAGAAAAAAGTTAAGTAACTCGCTCCAAGTCACCGATAGCCAACATATTCCAGCAGCAGCCTCCATGGGACAAGGGGAATCTCGGGAGCTGTGGAGAGTCTGACCGGAGGGACAAGTAGAACAGGGGATGAGGCAGAAACGAAGTCGCTCGCAGGTGAGAAAAGCAGGTTAATTAGCTTTCTGGCTTAGGAGCAGACATCTCCCCTAAGACTTCTAGAAAGAACAGTCTTCACATCTCACTCATATCCCTGATACCATGATCATGATCTGTCCAGAGGTGAGAAAAAAATACCTCCAGGCTGTCGGGTTAATAGTAACAGAATACAGAGATAGCAAGTTTTTTAAGACTTCCAGGCTCTGTTTTAAAGTGCTTTAAATAGATTGACAGATTGATAGCTCTTTCTCGATTCCGTGGGTGGTGGTGCATGGCCGTTCTTAGTTGGTGGAGCGATTTGTCTGGTTAATTCCGATAAAGTGCTTTAAATATTCATATCCACTTAATCCTCATATTAGCTCTGTGTGGTAGGTACTATTTTTATTGTTTTACAGATGAGGAAAAGTTAGGTAATTTCCCCGATGTTAGTAAAAAGAGGAAAGGAAAGTACTAATTCCACCTGCCTTTTTAACCATCGCACACTGCTAACTGCATAAATGTCAGCTGAGAATTTAATTAGACTTAAAGGATAATTCTTGACTGTAACAGGTGCTTCTAAAGAGAAATCTAGAAAGTCCACCCCATGGGACCCTTGAAGGTGACCAGATCGTCCCGCTTTTGGCGGGACAGTCTCAATTTTCAACAATTTTTCCCACGTCCCTCAGTGTTTTAAAAAAAAATCCCGATTTTTGGAAAGACTGGAAAGATTAAAACGACGTGGGACATGGGGAAAACTGTTGAAAATCAGGACGGTCCCGCCAAAAGCTGGACGATCTGGTCACCTTAGGACCCAAGGATCACAAAGGTATGGTCCAAGATGCTGGTGGCAAATTCCAGCAGGTTATAATTATGCAAAAAGTTCATCAGGAGGCTGATGGACCTTCAGCAGGGCTGAAGATCTGCAATAGATATAGGCATTTCCCCTAACCCAGTGGTCAGCAAACTCATTAGACAACAGAGCCAAATATCAATAGTACAACGATTGACATTTCTTTTGAGAGCTGAAAACCAACTTCTTCACATGGGCCACGAAGTTTCAATCGCACTGCAGAAGCAGAGGAATGAGCAAATGCCTCCTAAAGTCCTCCCCAATGCTCTGATTCTAAGATTATCTTTTAAAATACACACACAAAACCTGTGGCTTGTGTAAGAGAATGCTCTTATTCTCAGAAAATATACATTGGGCAGCTGGAGTGGCTCAGTGGTTGAGCATCAACCTATGAACCCAGAGGTCATTGGTTCGATTCCCAGTCAGGGCACGTGCCCAGGTTGCAGGCTCAATCCCCAGTAGGGTAGGCGATCAATGATGTTTCTCTCTCATTGATGTTTCTATCTCTCTATCCCTTTCCCCTCCTCTCTCTCTAAAAAGCAATATAAACATTTTTTTTTAAAGAAAATATATACTGAAGTATTTCTGGAAAAAGGTCACAATGTCTGCAACTTACTCAAATAGTCCAGCAAAATGAAAATGATCATTAAATAATAAAATGCATAAATGTGCACATATAAGATGTCCCCAAAAATGTACACACATTTTAACAGCTGATAGCTCAATTTTGAAAATAAAATGTATTTTTATAAACACTGCCTTTATAATTATTCAAAGTGTGTGTATACATTTTTTAGGACAACCTTGTATGTGGAGAGAGTCAGAGAGTGAGTCCATGCAAGCAAGAGCTCATTTGGCAAAACGCTGAGAACTGGGGGATCTAGGTAAAAGTGCATAGCAGTTTGGCACCATTCTTTCTATTTGTCTAGAAGTTTGGAATTTTTTATGAAAAGGTGTTTGTTTAAAAAATACACATAAGCACATTTCAATCTCAACAATCAAAACCAAAGTAATAAGGAATAATAAAAGAAATTCTGCCTTTTATAAACTACTTATAAAACAACTGGCTTTTTTGTGTTATACTATTTTTATCACTTTGGCTTAAAATGTTGATTATCAAGGATGTATTAACCTTCGGTTTCACAGTGAGTTACAACCTGTTTACTCAGCACTGTAGAACTGAAATTGAAAACTTGGGAACACTGGATAGATCTATAATGCCACACAGATGAGCTGAGCTGAGGCTGCTCCGGGTCTTCTGTTCCTTGCAGGAAATAAGAATGTGGAGAGAGGGCGGAACAGAGAGGAAGGCAGCGCTGTGAACTGCTCCTGCTGCCAAGGATGAGAGGGGCTGCATGACTGACTGGTTCTGAGCACTGGGCTCAGGCTCTCAAAAGATGAGCAGTTCCCAGCAAAACGGTCAGCGTGACCTCTGGCCCCAGAAGGCTGGCTGATGGCCCTGCCCAGTCACGGCCAAGCAGAGGGTGACTAAGAAGAACATGAACCAAGGACAGAGGTAGAGGAAGGGAGGCAGTGTTTAAACTCTAACAGGCCGTTCTTCTCAAATGTGTGCCTTCCTCAAAAGGCGATGGAATGAGGTGCATTTCTTTCAGGAGGCCTCCCAAGTCCCTGGGAAGAGAGGAAAGGGAATTAGAGCAGGAACACAGATGACTTAGGCTCTCCTGCTCTCATGTCCTGAAACACGACCGGAGGACAGAATATGGTGATCCCGTGAGCTCCTTTCACTCTGCAATTTTGTGTCAAGACCTGGGAACGCAGCAGAGGGGTCAGATAGCCTCTGGATGGAGCTGGGAACCTGGCCATCCTGGGAGAGCCATACAGCTAACTGAGGCGTAGTAAGCTCCCAAAGGTCAGCTAAGGAAAAAGAGCAGGGCAAGAAAAAACAGAGGCCACAAAAACATCAGGCCATTGATTCTTGGTATGAACTACAAACTAAAAGCCATTATGGTTAAATAGTAAGAATGTGTTTCTGTATTGGAGTATACAGACAGTACTAAACATGGAGACAAAGTCATTTCACAACAAATGAGTCACAATAAGTTGCCTAAGAGTGACATCACCATTTGATTTATGTACAGCATTTGGGCCATTTAAATGTGTGAGGGGGATGGGAGGGGCATGTTGATTCTTAGCAAGCCAGCCTTCAGTGTGTGTGGTATCGAGTTTCTGACACAAGGTGGAGCCAGTGCCATTGAGCTAGGTTGTGTGACTTCAGTTTAAGGGCAATCTAAGGTCAAAACGTCAAAAAGTGAAGACCTGATTCAAGACAACTGATGCAATTCTAAGGGAGAAAAGAACCAGCAAAGTATTTTACCCTCTATGGAATAACTGACACTGAGCTAAGTATAAGAGACTATTAAAAGCAATTCATAAGAAGAAAAAAAGCTGTGAAATTATTTTCATTCATTTAATAAATATTTATTGCACACTACTATGTGCCTAGAACCACATATAGTAGAGCAGTCAACACAGAGAAAACTTTGCCCTCAACAAAGGCATTTTTCACAGATCAATCTTATTTTGACAAAGCCATGAAATGAAGTTGAAATAATGGCTAAATCTCATTTGCAGAACTGCTTTGAAAAAAAAAAGCCGCCTTTTCCAAATACCCCTCTAATGAAGTGACATTTTTCTGCTACTAGAGCAGCATTTTTCAACCGCTGTTCCGCGGCACACTAGTGTGCCGCAAGATGTTGCCTGGTGTGCCGTAGGTGCAGACAAGACAAGAATTTTATAATTTTTCACTATTTTGTTTACTTAATATTTCATAATAAAGTAATTATAAAATACTTTCTTTGTGTTTATTTGATTCCTATTCAAGAGAATTACTTTATATATAGTCAATATAGGCACAGAGTTAAATTTTTTAACATTTTCTAATGGTGGTGTGCCTCGTGATTTTTTTCATGAAACAAGTGTGCCTTTGCCCAAAAAAGGTTGAAAAACACTGTACTAGAGTATGTTTTCAGAAAACCCTCTAATTCTAACTTGTTCCATTATTATTTCTTACTCTGTCCTATGTGCTAGAGTTTGCATTCCCCAAAGGAAGAACCCTGGATCTCCTATAGCTCAGGCACTGCCTTAGGCACTGAGGTTACTATCGAGCATTAGACAGACAAGGTCCCTGCTCTAACCATGGAATGCACAATCAAGCAGGAGAAAGCACACACACACTCAAATAAGTACACATGTGAGCTAACTTTATGAGAAAGCACCACCACCATCATCATGATCCTAACTATTAGCTTGCTAGGGCTGCCACAATGAAATAGCATACTGGGTGGCTCAAACACAGCATTTACGTTCTCACAGGCTGGAGGCTGAGCTCCAGGATCATGGTGTTGGCAGGGTTGGTTTTTCTGAGACCTCTCTTCAGACGGCCATCTTCTCACAGTGTCCTCACTTGGTCTTTCCTCCCTGCACATGCTTCCCCTCGTGTCTCTGCCAAATTCCCTCTTTAAAAAAAATTTTTTTATTTGATTTCAGAGAGGAAGGGAGAAGGAGAGAGAGATAAAAATGTCAACGATGAGAAAGAATCATTGACTGGCTGCCTCCCATACACCCCACACTGGGGATGGAGCCTGCAATTGGGTTATGAGCCCTGACCTGGAATTAAACTATGAACTCCTGGTTTGTAGGCCAACCCTCAACCACTGAGCCCGAAAAAGCCTGGAGTCCTTGAAAACCTCTGCACACCCCCCCAGGTGCTGGCGCCATTTGGGGGCTCAGCCCATCTGATCTCCAGATGACCTAATTTATTATCCCTTACCACTTTTGGCTTCATGCAGTCCTCCTTCGGCAACCCTAACATTTACCATATTTTTCGGACCATAATACGCACTTTTTTCCCCCCAGAAGTGGGGGGGGAAAGTCCTTGCGTCTTATGGTCCAAATATAGCCTACACATATACTTTAAAAAAAAAGTTTTTTTACTTGCCCGGCTCTGTGTGGTCTCTGTGCTTGCCCGGCTCTAAAATGGTTCTAAATGCTGCTGTCTACTTTACAGGGTTGATTACATGTGTTTATGACTGTGATGTTGGGTTTTAATGCACATAAAATATTTTAGGACACTATTTGTTTCAGAATCTTTTTTTCTTCATTTCCCTTCTCTAAAAACTGGTGCGTCTTATGGTCCGGAGCGTCTTATGGTCCGAAAAATACGGTACTAAGTCAGTTGACTGAAACATTTTTCATTGTTGTGAAAGGTCTAAATAATTCCAAATTCAGCACTGTCAAATGGCTGCTTGCTGCCCAAGCAGAAAGTTCACTATCCTGGAGTTTCCTTCTAAAGCAATGCTGAGACATTGTGGAGAGACATTACTTCTGTCCACTGTGGCAAACATTTCCATTAAATCTTTCAATGTGTGCAAAGCAGAGTAAGGGGAAGGAACACAGAATGGGGGCAAGGATCCCACAACTTCTATTACACCCATGGATGTCTCCACTGCCTTCTGCCTTTATTTTTTTCTG